AGATACAACCTTAGATAGAACTTTAATTATTGTAAAAATCCTTAAAATTTAGATCTTGTTCTATGAAATTTCTTTAGAATACTTATTCTTTCTTCTTTTATACTAATCATAGTAATATTTCTTAAATTTAGTTGTGAACTTGATCTACTTGCTTTTTTGAATTACATAACTTGTTGACATAGACTTTGAACTTTATTACTAATTTCTTCTATATGCATCAAAATACTACTTCTATTATTGACATTCTTGTGTGGTAACATAGTTATATAGTAGAAAATAAAATATAGATGTTATTATAAATGAATCTAGTAGAAAGATGTAATAAAAAAATTAATAAAAAATTAAAAATAATAATAAAAAGTTTAGTCTTAATGTTATATTTTGTAGAAGAGACTTCTATTAATTTTGTAGAGGCCTAAATGAATCATATCCAAGAAAATAAGATAATAAATTGATATAGGCATGTTTTGAAAAGAAATAATAATATTTCAAAGCAAAACTTATTTCAAAATATCAAAAATTGATATCCAAAGAGAAGTAATTATTAATCTAGATCAAAATTAGATTCCAAGGCACAAAACCATGTACCTACGACAATCCTAGGATTCTTTTGTAAATCAAAGAGTAGGATTTGAGAGCAGATTTAAGAAGAAATTTATAAGGATTGATTTTATATTGTTTGAATGAGTATTGAGATTTTGAGAGATTTTCAAAGTTAGTAATGTATTCAATGGATTTGGACTTTGAGAAATAAAAACAAGTTAACAAATTTCAAGATTTTGTGAGTTTATAATATGTATATAGGTAAAAATTAGAAAGTTTATTATTGTACTTTTTACAAATATCTTTGAGAAATTTGAAATCAATTTAGCAGTCAAATTGAAGTGTATAAGGATTTTTATGGATTATAGTCTCTGATAATTGAGATTTAGGATAAGTGAAGAATTTTGTGATCTCGGAATATGTGCTAGTTTGATTGAAGCAAAAATTAATAAGAGTAATTTAGACTGAAATATTTACACACAATACAAATTGTAGAGCAATTAAACGATTTAGTAAGGAGAAATCTATATTGAAAGATCAATGTTCAATTCAAAAAAGAAGGATGGCTAATAACTTAGAGGTTTGAGAAGTTTTTCTTATTATTGGTATGTGCAATCTTCTTCAAATCTTTAATTCTTTTTGTTAATTTAGTTATTTTAAGGTATATAAAGTTTGAGTCAAAATCAAAAATTTAAAAATTAATCATTAAATATTTAATTTTCTATAGGATTGTTAAGAATTTTGTTTAAGATTTATGATTTTATTATGAATTGATTAGGATTGATTTAGGATCTAGGATTTGACTATAGTTTAGGATTTTATATAGGTTTAATTAAAATTTTACTAAGAATTTAATTAAGATTTTTCTGAAATTTTATTAAGATTTTATTAAGATTTCATTAGAATTATTTTAGAATTTAGGATTTTATTAAGGTTTGATTTAGGATTTAATTAAAATTTATTATATTTTCAATTATAATTTTAATTAAGATTTCAATTAGAAATTTACCTAAGATTTGGTTAAGGTTCAATAGGATTTAATTAAGATTTTAATTAAAATTGGATTTAAGATTTATTTAGGATTTATTTAATATTTTTATTTTAATTATTTTTTTAGATTTTTTTTTATTTTTTTAAAAGTTTTTATTTCTAATATTTCTTTAAGATTATTATTATTTCTTTGAAGGTTTATTTTTATATTTTTTAAGATTTTCTTCTTATTTTTCTTTAAGATTAATTTATTACTTTTTAATATTTTTTTTCTCTTCTTTTAAATTTATTTGAATTGATTAAAATATAATTAGGATTATCAAAAATTATTTAAAATTTGTTTAAGATTGTATTAAACTCGATAGAATTGTTATTGTTTTTTCACTTATCTTCGACAATTAGGTGTTCAATGCATTTTTAAGTAAGGACACATGTTATAAAATAATATTAGAAATATATAAAATTTCTATCGTAAGAATAGTGACAAGCTTATGAAGATCTACAATACTTGCAAATATATTCTCACTTCTACCGAGAGTAGCATTCATGATTTGTTTTCTAAAGACAATTCTAATAAATCTATAAGTCAAATTAGAAAAGGATAATTTATAATTCCCAATATCAAATGAAAATTTCTATAAAGAAAAATAGTAAACTTTCTTTTAGAAAAAAATCAATGTTAAAAAACCAAAAGTTAGTTTAAAGGTGGATAGTCTGCAATCTTCAAAACACAACAATAGAAGTGGGGTAATTCACTAACTTTTAAAACAAAACAAAAACAATGTTATCACTATTGTCAAACTGTTAAGAACATGAATCTCAAAGAACCAAAAAAAAATACATTATTTTGTTACTTGAAAAGACTAGATAATCACTCAAAGATGATATAATATTAAACTAAAATGACTATTTTCAAAGACAAGAGAACTAGAATTTTTTAAAACAAGACAAAGAATAAGAAAGGCATTTGTAAAAGTGAAGAAGGCTTTATTCTTGCCTCCATATATACTATCTTTTTAGAAGATATGTAGAAATATTCCATAAAACCATTGACACATGTTTAATTTACAAGACACATATTTTAATTTGCAAGGCAAGTTTTCTATATGTATACTTAATGATTAGCTTGTACTACAAGCTATCAATACGTACAACACATAGCCAACTTGTTAGCCAAGTATTCAACCTATCAATTACCTATAGACATGTAAAAAGGTGAAATTGTGTATATGAAGCTTTTAGAAAGCTTTTCTATAAGATATTTTTAAATTAAATTATTTTTATTTATTTCTACCTATTTATATAATCTAAATAATTATAATAATAGATATGTATGTTTTTGATAATATTTTTTTGATTTTTTTGTGTCTTATAAAATAATAATTAAAATAAATATAAATTTATTATTTTTTTTTATTCCAAATATATATTGAACCAATATCTTAAGTACCTTTGCAATTTTTAACTTGCTTCTTCTATGATTATAATAAATATTAAAAAAAAAATATTAATATCTTTATAATAAAAATTTGACTTCTATACTACTATTGTCAAGGATAAGAACTTTAAGAAGATACATAAACAAGTAAGATATGTATCAAAGAAAGATGACAAAATAGAAAGAAGAAAGTATGTATATTTAAGAAAAAATTAGAATTGCTATTGGTAGAGTCTAGAATTCTAGAAACTCTTGAAATTAGACTAGAAGCAAGAAAAGAATTAACAAGAGTGAGGAATGTATTATTCTCATATATATATATATATATTCTATCTAACTAAGAGCTACATGGCATTGTTGTATAGGACCTCTAACACAAGTTTAACTTGTATGACATGTATCAAACTTACAAGAAAGTTTTTTATATGTATGCCACATGGTTAGCTTGTAATACAAGCTAACAACATATGCGACATGCGGCTAACTTTTTGACCAAGTTTCTAACTTACCAATCAACTACAAACACATATGAAGTCAAAGCCATGTCTATATAGCTTTTTTACAAGATATTATCAAATTAATCTTTTTCAACTATTTCTATCTATTCATATTATCTAAATAATTATTGAAATAAATATATATATATTCATGACAATTACAAAGTTTCTTTAACATCTTTTAAAAACTACTATCTAATTTAGTTTGCATTAATGATTAAGAAAAAAGTTAACCAATACTTCATCTTGCTAGTATAGATTTTAAAGCAATTTTGATATTGCATTTTAGCTATTACTATATCTAATATTATTTTTATTCTATTATTATATTTTTCATATGTTAATTTTTTTGAGTTATTTTTCAAAAAATAAAATAAAATTCATATTTAAATAATTTCACAAATTTTGTAAAATATCACAAGTATTATTATCAATCAAAATTAAAAAAATATTTATTAAGAATTATCAAGAACATAATTAAAAAAATTAAAAAATTAAAAATTAAAAAATACTATCAAATAAGTAAAGTAGAAATTTAAAAATTATTTAAATTTTATCTAAAAAATAATTATAATATAAATTTCTGTGAAAAATAAATAAATTTAATCTTAAACTAAGGCTTGAACTTAAAAAATATTTTAATAAGATTGATAAAAACTTCAATTTTAATTTTAGACACAAATTATCAAAAATAACCTTTAAAAGCTATATAAAGACCATATGATGTTTAAAACTATTGTTCATTGTGTCACATGTTTTTATCATGATTCTTTATGTATATAAATATATCATAATCAAATAAATTGTTTAAAGATATTATAAGATTCAATTATGTTCAAATAGCTTCTACAATGATATTTTAAAAAATAACAATATTTTTATAAATATTTATTTCAATAAATTACGCATTATCAATATTATATAAATCTTTTGTAAACGATTTCTATAAATAATTTTATTATTCCACGTTTTTTTTGAAGTTTAAAAGTTCAAAAAATGTTGAATAGTCTTTGGCTCAAATACTGATTTGTGATGCACAAAATAGTGGTTGCTAAATCCTTAAAGCCATGAAATTTTGTTTGAAAATCAAACAAAGATATTATCCGATCATTTTTTAATTTTTTTAGAATTCAAAATATCTTTAAATAAATAATAAAAAAAAAGATACAACCGGATGTAGCATTTGTATATGATTTTTATGAGTTTGTATACACTAAGAAATTCATATAAATATTATATTTCTTGGACACTAACAAAGTCATTAAATCTTATTCTAGTGAAAATCAATACTCTAGGAGCAATTCCACTTCCTACACAAACCCAATAAAATCCGCTTGTATTTTATTTGACACGCCATATTACTAAAAATACTAAGAGACAGAGGGAGATATGTTGCATAGGAATGCATGCCACGTAGGACTGGACAAAGCAGCGTGAAGCCACCCACACATGTTCCGCGCGTAATCCGTCAGGGCGGGAGGGGCCAGGCTGTGCCCGGTCACAAGCAGAAGTGGATTCGGTGATAGGTGGTTTTCCCCGAGAGGTGGACACCGCTTCCTGGGCTCTGCTGCGTATTCTAGCTCTCTCGTCGTCGTTGTCGTCGTTGCGTCAATTTCGCTGCTTCTACTGCTCTGCATCGATGCTTCTATGCTGCTGTGATGCTTCATCTGTTTCCATGTGGCGCTTTGTTTCAATCCCCTTGTCAATCAGTGCCCCTTCGCACCCTCACTCTCGCACTCCCACAATCGTCGTCCCTGTGTCGTATACTCCTGGTGAGGGCTTTGTCCCATTCTAGCTTTCACGCGCACTTGGTCCAATTCCCTTGCTCGTCCGATTGTTCGTTTGTTCGTTCGTTGCTTGCTTGGTTCCAGCACCCCTTTCGCGGCCCTTTGCATACTGGGTCGTGTCGGTTCCGTTTTTTTTTTTTTTTTTTTTTTTTTTTGTTAAGAGATTGCGTGGACGAGAGTTGTGTGCAACACATTCTGTTCTCGTTTTGGACTTGGAATGCCGCCAGAACTTCGGGCGTGTCAGCTATGCAGCCCTCAGGAATTGGATGTTTGTATTACAGGCCTCGATGTGGGTTGGTCAAGCGGTGTGTTCTGGGCATTTAGGGCTTTGTGACGGGCATGGTAGAAGGGCTATGTTTGGTGAATTGATTTCCTGGTCGTGCTGAAATCCACAATTGCTTTTTCTGTTCATTGTCGGTTCTCGATGCTACTTGGTAGCGCTGAGGAAATCAGGGGTGATGAAGAGATTAAATTTGTTGTTTCGGCAATTCGCTGCGTGTGCTGGTTGTCACCCTTTTTCTTTCTTCCCCCTTTTTTTTTTTTTTTTTTTTCTTCTTTCGTCGCTTCATGTTTTCTTTTTTCTTTTCCTTTAGTATAATCGTTTACACATTTTAAAAGTTTACATTTAATTATTCGGCACAGGGTGTTTATTTCTTAAATTTTATTTTCTTAAGAATTTATGTGGACCATGGGTTAGAGAGTGTTGCGTGAGAATTGTCCCTCAGTAAACCTGCGAAGTGAGCATTTTGCATTAGGTCATGGCCTGTACCAAAATATTGCACTCTGGAATCGAAAAGTTCATTGGCACTGCGCATTGCTTGCATCAGCTTCTTAATAGTACTACCTTTAAAGATATACGTGGTTTAGGAGAATATCCCTTAAATTACTTATCGAATTTGCAGCATTGGAATACCTCCTACTTATGTATCGAGCTTGCTGAATTGCAGTAGATTAAATCAGTTGAGGGTTTTGGATTCATACAAGAAATTTCCTCATTTTGTTCCTTGAAAGTGATACGATTGCATGTCCTATGATGAAAATATTGCTCTTTCTGTTGATATTTGTTTTACTCTCAACTCTTCACATTCAAACTGCGCATTAAGTCCGTGTTCATAGTTTTAAATTTTCTGATTTCGTGAATTAGGTCATCGCTGAGGTGGTCACCGCTTGAGTAAGAGTGAGCACAGCTGCTGTATATGAAGAAATCTACAATCGGGAGAGGAGCTTGGTGATGGGGTTTAGAGAGAGGAAGCTCTATGAGACTTTTCCAGGGGGTAGCGGTTGATGACGTGACAATACATAGACGGAGAGCAAGCAAGCCTAGTGCCGGAGATATGCTCTTTAAGATTTTGTCAGAACTGGTAGACACCGAGCGGGTGGGGGCCTTTTCGGCCCAGAGGCGGGGGGTGCAGTGGGATGACATTGGGCGGAACTGTGGTGTGAATAGGGCATGTGCCATCGCCATCACTCTGTGGGTAATCATTGTATGCGTGTTGCTGGGAGTGGCCACTGGTTATCGACCTTTGAAGGAAAAGGTGCTTGGCTTTGAAGAATCGCCATGGCACGAGGTATGAATTTCGTCTGTATGTGAAGGCTTTTATCATCACTTGTCAAGAATGTCAATTTAGTGGCACTATACTTGTTTTCTCCATATACCGCGTCTGAAAGCATTAGAAATCTGTTTTCGAACGCAGGATTATGTGCACACATCAAATGATTGGTTTTTCCTAATGATCCTATCGGGCGCGTGTTTTTACTTCTATTCGTTGTTTGGGTTCCCCTTGTTTGTAAGTGCAGCGTCTATTTACAGAAGGCAGTGGAGGACAGTTGGGTCCATACTCGATGTTGAACATCTCAGGGACTTACAAAGGTAAATGGTTGAACTGATAATGTGTATTTTGTCGAGACGGCCTGCATTCTATATTTGTTACAAATGCTGCCTTTTTACGCTAAGCACTTAATTTGAATGTTTATTTTGAATGTCGGTTGGATCGATGCATGTGAGTCAATCTGTTGTGAGTATCCTAGTGTGCTATTGTTCATATGAGTACAGTTTCCGATCAATTCGTACATGCATTTCATGTTTGAAGTATGGTATGCTCGTGCTTTCGCAGGAACATGGTCACATCGCAACGGCAACTTTTCATCCAAGTTTCCCGTGTTCCAGAAATCTAGTGGAAATATAGTTTTTGAACTTACAAGCTCACTAACTGATATAAGGGGTGTACACTATGTACAGGTAAACAAGTTCAGTTCATCCCATCCCATCCCATCCCATCCCATCCCATCCAATTTCAATGACAAAACATAACAGGTTTGTTATAGTTATTGATAATTCTCCTTTACATAAGTTTGAACATCTTTAGTTGTAATATCGTGGTTACTTTTTCTAAGTTTTTTGAGTAACTTTCACGGTTCACCAGGGAGAAGTAGTGCTACGCGATGGTGTGTATATAAGCGATGGTGATTTGCAAATGAAAATGGAAGGGGTTTATGTGTGGCCCTTCCGCCAACTTCGGATGGTCTTGAGCAGGTTTGTTTTCTGGTTATGAATGGCTGAATACTTGAAAGTATGTTTAATGTACGTGGGTTATTTGCAATATTAAAAGCATGCGCGCGCGTTATTTAGCTTTGGCAGCCGAAAGAGGTGCAAGAGCTTGTGCAAGTGTCTGCTAATTTTTTCAGAACGCTGATCTCCTCTTGGCCGTGGCGACATCTTATTATCTTAATGTGTTGTTACACAGTGCGGTGGACAGTGAGATGAATCGAGGTGAAGTTTTCATTCGATCCAGTCCCTACCACTTGGTGAGCAGATCATCCGCATTCCATTTGTAGTACTGTTCATCATATCGATTTTGTGTACTCAGAAAGTTAAGCCTTTTGTGTTGTACTGTAATCGTTTGTAGATTTTTTCTTTGGGGTGAAGATTCATCATAGGTTATTTGATTCTTAGGCTGAAGGGTGAGCGTGATCTTTTTAGAAGGAGGGTCAGGTACTGACAGTGCTAGAGGCATTCGCGTGGGTGTTGTGGCTTTGTTGATGAGTCGCAGCTCGGCATGTTTTCATCGCAGGTGGCACAAGACACTCCTCGTAATTACCATCGAAGCAAAAGAAAGACTTGTACGTGTCTTATTGCCCTTTCCATTCACTTGGATGTTGCCTGGTTGAGGATTGTGAATCAATTTTGTGATCACAAATTTATCATGGTTAAACCTGATAATTATATTCAACAATCAAAAGAGGTGTTGCTGTATGATTTGACAGTCTCTTCTATGTTTTCATTGGATCAATTTTTTTGCCACTCAATGCAGCACGTATTATGGAGATGGGAAAGATGTGCAAGATTCAACTCGTCACTCAAGTATCTCCCAGAGTGCCAGATTATAAACGCGAGTTTGCAAGTCAGTTCTTTCAACCCAGCGAATCTGATAAATTTGAATTCACATACTACAATGTGATTACTCAAGTATGTTTATTAATTGGCTACTACTTTTCATCATGTGGAACAATGAAGTATACATTTTCACCCTTTCGTTGTAGATACTACATGAAACTTAATTGGTTATATTTCTGGTTTCGGTTCTAGAGAGGTTTGAGAACACATTAAAACTTCTCAACTGCTAGCTAGATGCAAGTGCGAAGGTTACGTAGTGGGTTGAGAGACTCTTGGATTCGTAATACAACGATGTTATCTGCAAGGTGGACGTTTTTGTAGATCAATCTATACTAATGGTGGAGCTTTTGCAGAAGGGGAACATGAACGTCAATTTTGTGAAATGCGAGGGTTAGTAGAAGGTCCCAGTATGCATGAAGACCAAGGCGAATGTTTCTCTCCGCTTGTCGTGAATGCCACGTCAGTGAACGTGGAATTGTATTACAACAAAGCCGTCAACTACACGTTGATGGTCACTTTCGTATCCAATTCATCTAAATATTCATAAGGTTGTCTAGTAGATGAGGTCGTTGTATGCTTGTTTCATTGTCATACTGAAAAGATGACCTAAGCGTCTTGGCTGCCTTCGTATCACAAGTCATGCCCGTTAGATTTTCCTTCCATCAACTGTGAGGAGTTTGATTGTCATTTTCTAGTTTTGTCGGTCCGTCACTACTACCGTGTATGAGGCTAAGTATTGATAGCTCCCCTTAACCCTACTCTTCCAGATATCGTTTCTGCAGGTTCTTTTCTTGATACGTCAAATGGAGCACAGCAACACTCAATCTGTACCTCTCGTTGCCTTGGAGAGCTTGTATTTTAGTTCGAACATTGTGATTCGTATCTTGTATAGGATTCGTGTCTGTTGATACGTGAGCCTTCCATGATTTAACTGATATAGAATAACTGACGTTGATTTCCTGATGTTGAGTGATTGCAGAATCTGAATTGCTTGTTGTGTGGATGGTTCAGGGTGCTGCAAAGGTATCATTGATGATGATAGGACAACAAGCTATCATGGATGCGTATCTTTGCCTCTTGCACCTTACGGCAGGCATTCTTGTAGGTATGAATCCTGGTCCCATTCCACTAATGCAAGTTAGTATCATAAGTCTGGATGGGCAATGTCAGAGCTGGGCTCCAGGCTCGTTGCACGTGACTTCCATTTCTTTTGGATTTACTTGTTCAAATGTCAGTGCGGAATGATCAGGTCTCGCCAGGTGTAGAGTTCATATAAGTGGGAAAGTAGATGATAGTGGTTTTGAGCATCACTTTTAGGCACTTTGGCTTAAACAGCACCTGCCTGTAGGTCGGGGCTCATATACTATAACAGCGTGGAAGCGCAGAGAAGAGATCAATCAAGAAGGTGACACCTTGTAGTCATGGAGACTTTTTCTCTTTAAAATTTTTCAAAAACAAAACTGTAACATGAATGTCTCTGAGCTATTTACTTGGAGGTATCTGGTGCTCATCCCTTGCAAATTATAAGCAAAGCCTGATCTGGGTGGAAATGATAAGCTGACACTGTACAATTTGTTTGACTCGTCAACAGAGTCGCTGTTCAATACATTTGCGACTGCTGCATTTTTCAAGTTTGTTGTATTCTCAATATTTGAGATGCGGTACTTGCTTGCTATTTGGAAGTCGCGAAGGCCTGTCAGTTCTGGAGAAGGGTGGGAAACTATGCGTCGTGAGCTTTCAGTTCTCTATTCCCGTTTCTGTAAGCTTCCATTTCCTTCTATTTGCACTCGTGATATTCTTGAAAATTTTACCATCTAGTTGAGGATCTACCTTTTTTTACATCAGGAAAAAAAAGAGTTGTGGTTGATGTCAAAGATTCCACTTTCTCGCGGATGTTTCCACTGGGCATTGCACTAATGGTAAATATTGCTGGTGCAGATGGATTTCTGCTGAGCGGCATACTGATTATATATGAGCTGCATAGCATGCTTCGCTACATCCTTTTCTTGTTTTACTCTTTTTGGATCCCTCAAATTGTGGCCAATGTGGTGCGTGATTCGCGGAAACCACTCCACCCACACTACATTGTGGGTATCACCTTGACACGCTTAGCAATCCCCCTGTATGCCTTCGCCTGTCCGAACAACTTCATGCGTATCGAACCTAACCTAGGATGGTGTCTTGGTCTAACCACATTCTTGGGCGCCCAAGCAGCCATACTTCTTCTGCAACATTTCTGTGGAGCCCGGTGTTTCATTCCACGTCAGGTATGGACAGTTACACTGTACACTGTACGATGCTCTAGCTCTAACAAATCCTCAATTGAGTATAATTATCTTATGTTTTTTTGAACTTCACACCAGTTATTATTGGATGATTGTGTGCAGCTGCTGCCTGAGAAATACAGCTACTTCCGCAGAGTGATTCGTGCTAATGAACATATAGAAAGGGGAGAGGAGTGTACTCCTATTGACTGCGTGATTTGCATGGCTGCTGTTGATGTTTCACAGCGGTGTAATGACTGCATGGTGTGTGTGTTCATCATACCAATCAAAGTTCCATCATGGGTATTATAAGAAGTTTAAGTCCACTGATGTTCATTGTGGTCACAAAATGCAATTAGAAGGGTTTGTGTAGTGACACGGATTACTATTTTCCCACCTGTATGCATGCAACGGAGTATTATGTGGTCTTTCGTTTATGGTGTGAACATTTCTGAAGTAAAAATCATCTGCTAACTATGAGGTGGTTTGATCATTTTCAGGTAACTCCGTGCGACCATTTTTTTCATACCGGGTGCTTACAAAGGTGGATGGACATCAAAATGGAATGTCCAACATGTCGGCGGCCGCTTCCTCCTATGTAGCTATCTTAGGACGTAGTTTGTAAACTACTTTGGTTTGTCTCACCATAATATGTCCATTGGAGCTGTGGCGGATGGTTTATTGCAATGCTGCAGATCTTTCGACCCTTGGAAATTCTTTCACCTTTTTTAATTCTCTTCGACAGTCGTAAGAGTTTGATGTTGATGTTGTTGTTGTTGCAATGGCATTGGGTGATTGCCCATGTTGATTCTTGTCATGGGTGTATACAGAGGCAGACTTGTCAAGTGTTTTAATTTAACACATAGGGACCCTTGCCTAGCAATTCAGAGTCGTTGAATTTTCTGGGAGTGCTCGTCTTTGCCGCAGTGCTGCAACTAAGGTAAAAACACATCTGAAAATTAACGTAAAACAAAATAAAACAATGCGCTTTGGCGTTTGTCACCTTCTATAAATCGAAAATTGACAGTTCTATCGATCACCCTTCCACGATAAAATGGAGATGAGATGTGATCAAATTGGTTGCTATTTCTACATATATTTTTAAAATCCAACAACTATTATGATGCATAACACCACCCTCCATTTCTCTCCTTTGTTTCTTTTGTTTTTTTTGCCCTTTTTATTCGTATTCTTATGATGTAAGGCAATTTTGGTGAAATAATTCATTCATGTGTTGCAACACAATGTATACCACTAGTACAACTTAGTCAAAGAATATTTATTTTATTTTAACTTAATAATTAATGTAAATGGATTTTTGTCAGTTGTTAATCATTCGTAAAGTAAAGATAACCTTTATGACTAGTTACTTTTGTTACTGTTTTTCAACTCCAATTATTAAGATAAGTTTCATCAAGTGTACTATTATATGCATTTGTGTATGTGCAATTTTTAATATTACTTCTTGTAACTTTATACATACATAAATAATGATTCTTGGTATTCAAAACATTCCATGTGTTTACTATTTTAAAACAAGGCATACATTTGTGGATAATTTTATCTTATTTTTTATAGATTCATTTTAGAATACGTATAATTAGACATATATTTTTTATATACTAAATATTTAATTATACATTTTAAATATATATATAATTATATATTACATATTTCACAACTTAAAGGAATTTTAATAAATCCTCAGATATCAAACAAAAATACGTTTTTATTTGAATCTTAAATTGATGTAGTTTGTGTAATACTAAATAAAATTGATTAATTGTTAAATCTTTGTAGATCCTTTTTATTGTTCAAAAAAAGAATCAAAAAATATAGATATAATATGCAACATAACATTAAGTAAATAGTATACAATAAATGATAAATAACAAACATTTTTTGAAATGAAATTAAACATTAAATGTTATCATTGTTATTATTATTATTATTATTATTATTATTACATGCATGAAATTCAAAAGAATTATGCCTTTATATTAGAATCTATATTGCAAAGTCAAGTTTCTAATTGAACCACATGGATCATTTCAACATAGCCATGTAATCAATCTCAATTATTGAAGTGATAAAATCATCCACCATAATGAATCTACTTAAAAAAAAAAAAAAAAAAAATACAAACAAATACAAACAAATACAACTTGATTAATAACAATAATGATTTATACAAAATAGTATCAATAAATCATGTTTAAAATTCTCATATAATAGAATCTATATATTAAGAATTCTCAAGGAGACAAGTAGTGGTTCTTGATGGTTACATGGATGAATCTTTGTTTTTATCAAAAAAATTCACCTTCTTTAGAGTTCACAAGTCATTTTACAAAGTTCACATGCAGTTTTATAAGTCGTTTTTTAGAGCTTTGCATTGCAACGTGAGTGCCTTTATGCATTCATTTGGTCTTTGTTTTTATGAAAAAAGTTCATGTTCCATGAAGACAAAATGTGGCTTTCATTCACTGCATGAACCCTTCTTTGTTTTTATCAAAAAACATGATGTTGCTAAGAGTTCATATGACATTTTACCATTGACCATAGGGAGTTCATAGGGCATTTTATGTTGTCCTGGATTGCTAGTGATAGCTTCGGAGTGGCAAGAATGGACTTAAGCAGGACAATGACAACGTCCACTATGCATGATTAATTTTATAGTTTCTCATTGTTGTTCTATGTTCATGGGTTCATTGTTACTAAATGATTTCACATTTTCTTCTGTTTGTTTTTTCTGTGTGGCAATGGCACTAGTGAAGCAGAGGTAGTAAAAGTCACAAATGCCAGCAAGAGAGCTACTTCCAGAACCAGTAATGACTCCAAGAAGTGAGACTATTATCTTTCTTAATGTGATTTTCCTTTGAATGCCCTCTCTTCTTAATTGTGATTATATGCTTATTCTCAATCCTACTAAGTATGTCAAAATATTGTTACCCAACTTCTTATCTTTAGTTTAGTTCTATCAAAAAAACTAAAGGAAGAAATTTTGCCACTAAAAAGAAACCAGCTAAGGAAAAATTAGAGAAGAAAACAAAAACATCAAAATCCCTGAAGTTGCCTAAGAAGGCCACATTCAAAAAATTGGAAGGTGACAAGTAGCAAGCTTTTGAATCTCATTCATTGAAGGAGAAGAATGCTACTAAGCAACCTACTTTGAAGAATAAACAAAGACCAAAGAAAGTTATATCATTAAAGACTCATACATCTAAGACTAAAGGTGATAGAAAAGAAAGTGGTGATAGCTCATCAGAAAGTAAATTAACATGTAAGGTTGCTTCAGAAAAAAATCAAAGTGAATCAAAATAAAGCCAATCTCAAAGGAAAACAAGAGTTGTATCACATGTTCTTAGAAGATCTGTTTTGCAAAAAGAAGGTATCCAATTCATTAGAGCTAAGACAAGAAAGAAGTTTGATGATGTTTTTTATGATGGAGAAGTAATTGGATATGATCAAAAAGTGCAATTTTATATCTCCTTGATCTATGATGGAATATGGCATTTTACATGAGATTTTTTTTGATTCAAAATTTCATTGTTATCTTTGAAATCTCAAAGCTAAAGCTTTGTATGAAAGTCTCATATTAGTAAATGTTGTTGAGTGTTTAGATTTGTAAATTTTTTTCATATCCAAAGAAGAAGACTATACAGATAATATATGTCAATAATTTTTACATCAAATCTTTTCTAATCTAAGATCTATTCTAAGAAGTGTTGAAAGGTAAATACATCATGGAAGGCTTAGCAAGATTTATAGCATGATTGATTTAAGTAAATTGAGGTTAGAACTCCCTTCTATGAATAAAATGAGTGATGGTGAAGCTCCTTCACTACAAGTTTTTTGTGAGAAGAATTTGACTACTAATATCTATGTTCATTACATCAATCTAAAAAGTAGTGCAAGGATTAGGCACATTGATGATCAAAAGAGCTATACTTCTTCTTCTTTTTCAAAGTTGGGTAGATTCAAGTTATGAATTGTTTAAATGTGGTGGTAGGTGCAGTTCCTAATTTGGCCACTATAAACATGTTGCATTGATCTTTAAAGTGGTGAAGGTGGTGATCTACTGATCCTTCATTTAAAGGATTCATATCAAGAGTTGTATGATTCTACCATATTCATGCAAAGTCGTTCTTTGTCATGTTATTTGTTGTTGATAGGATTCAAAGCCTTTGATGCTTACCTTGACAATGTTGTGCTTGCTAAACTGACACATAGTTGCTTTGGCTACCATTTTTTTGAACCATTTCTAAATTATATGAATTACAAGTGGTGTCTTCAGTTTCTATTATGAAGATATAATGCTCTGCAATTGTTGTTGTTGCAGTTAATGAATAAATTATCTATATCAATGATATTTGTGCAAAACAAAATTATATATAAATTATTCCATAGTTTATTAAAAATTTGTGTCAATCACAATATCAAGTTTTTAATTATTTCTTTAACACAATAAATCGAAAGATATATAAGAATTATTGATTGTATGAATGTGTTTTTGAACCATGTTGAATTTTAATTCTTTTTTCTTTTTTTATTGTATTTTTATTATAAGATTAGTTTTATTATTATTATATGCTATAATTTTTTTTAAATACTTACAGATGTATTATAAGAAAAAAAATATATAATTTGAATAGTTCTTATAAAATGAATCAGTGCTAATTTTTTAATTTTTAATTTCAAGATAAATTATTTTAATTACAATAGGTGTTTGACTTAAAATTTAAGGAAAAAATCAAGTAAATGTTTTCAACTGTATTCTGTAATAATATCAAAGGATTAAACTTTATTAATAAAATCAAAATCAATATGCATTTTTACAAAGAACTATATATATATGATAATTTATTTAATTTTCAGCCACATATTATATTTTTAACTTATATTTAACTCATATTTTGAATTACTATAAAGTCACCATTATAAACTTGCTTATTATAATATTAAAATGATTAGTTGTGTGTTGCTTAATTGATTTATTTGTGATTTGTCCATTGTGAAGCTTGCATTTGCTACACCATGACTTGATTGCTCATTTGCCTAAATATTTTAAATACAATTTCTCTATTTTCACTTATATTTCCTCAATCTATCAATCTACCAATCTACCAATTTTTTTTTTGTTTCTAGACTTTGTTGTTATATTAATGTAGAATTAGTTTTGAAGAACTTGAATGCAAAATTTCCTACTAATGTGCAAGGTGAAATACTTAAGAAGCTAAGATCTTGATATAGACAAACTAAACTGTCTGGAAATTTGTGTCATAAATCCGTGACAACGGGTTCAACTAGTCAAATATAAAGCATAAGAATGATACAAAAGATATAAAGTTAATTAAAGAGTTTGAACCTCACTTCATGATCGATGGTTGTGAGCCAGTACAAGACATACCCTCACCTTCTGTCCAAACGAATGAATGAATTAATGGATGAATGTGCTTGACCATGGACGGGTGGATGGATTAGAATAAATCATTCATCCATTCTGGGCTTTGCAGCGTTAAGTGGGCCTTGCCGAGAGGAAGAGTTTCGTGTTTGTCGCGGCGTTGTCTTCGCAACGAGAGAGAGCAGCTCCCCTTCATCGCTACCGACACCGCTCCTCCTCGATCTCTCAAGGTTTCATTTCTTCCCTGTTGCGATGCGAGTGCGATGTCAATTTTGTAATATTATGTTTCTTCTTTTTCCGCATTCATTTGGAAACTTTTGTATGATTCCCGTGTAGGGTGTTGTACTCTTGTTTGCTCCAGTTTCGCTTAGGGTTTCGTTGCAGGATTGCGCGGAGAATTGTCGATGGTAGGAGAGCTTTTGGATAGCGATGCTTAGACGAGCGTTTTGTTCTTCTTTTTTTAAAAAAAAGAGAGTGGGCCTTGGGAGTGTACCGTGACTCTGGTAGTGAGTAATATTTTAGTCCCAGAGAGGTCTGGATTAGGGCTTGCGTATAGGTGAGCTCCGATCTGACTGGAAATGGTTGTCTTTTCCATTTTTTAAACCTTCTCAAGTGCGCCGTAGAATGTCCTTCGATTGATGTGGATTCCGATTACCTGATCTCGACATGAATTTGAAATCTTGCGGCATTTCGTCTTTCTCTATTTTCCTTGTTTTATATTGTCTTCATTTTCAGTTCCCATGTGTTTCTCTGACGGTTCAATCCTAGTTGTCGTCGTCTTGGTTATTGCATTGCTTTCTGAATCCTAAGTTCAATTTCTTCGTATTTGTAATAACCTTGCGCTGTCCACAAAAGATGAGATGTAGACTTTTTCCTGATTGTTTCTTTTTCCTCTTCTTTTTTTTTTTTTTTTTTTTTTTTTTCTTTCTTTCTTTCTTTCAAGTGTGGCGCTAGGGTACCATGTTTGGCAGTTAAAATCTAACTTTACAAGTAACCATTGGCTTGTATTGCAATGGCCGGCTACAATTATTCCAGCCAACTATTTGCATTTAGAGTTTTTTTTGCTATCTTGGCCTTACAGCAACATTGATGTTGCGGTGTGGAGCAGATGATTGATGATACGGATTTGGGCTTCTTCGCCAACTTTTTGGGGGTTACGATATTTGTATTACTGGTAGCCTATCACTATGTGGTGGCAGAACCAAAAGTCAAGGCACAATAGCGCAGCAGGTTTTGCGCCCGGCATGAAATATGAGGGATCTTTAGTGCATCCTGTCAAGGAGACCACCATGTGACGAGAATCGCGACGCATTTCAATGTAGTAGAGCAATCATAATTTGGCATTATTGTAAATGATTGCGCTTTCATGATACAAAGTTTACTGATTGAATTGTTTATCAAATACAACGTGGTTTCTACTTCAATTGAAGTACCTGAACGCTATCATTTTGTAGCATTTCTTAGCATACCATGTGCAACCGCCTTTAGGGTGTTATGGATGTGCGCTTTCGGCAACATGTTTGATGGCCCTAGAATGACTGCTTCTGCGTGTAGATGAATTGCAACTGTGATATGAACTGAATTTGCTTTGTTCCTGTGGTTTCATCTCCTATGTTTCTGGGTTTGTTATTCTTCAAGCTGTCCTGAAATCTATGTATGTCATAAACGTTCTGCCGAAATACTCTTTTTGATTGTTTCAAGTGATGTGTTTAGTATCAAATTGTAATTACTTCAACAATGTAATTGCGCCGGATTCTAAATAATGACTCGATGTGAGCGAACACTAGTCATGATGTCTCAAGGTGTGATGGCTGGCAGTAGTAACAACCACTGCGTTTATTACATTCAGGTTTACTGTAGTACTTATTGGAAGAATACTTTTCAACACATGGCTACTAAACGTAGATTGGATGAGTTTGGTACAAGCGGCGTTCATCGCAAAAACGTAACACTAGAGGAAAACTTCATCATTTCTAATGCCATTCAATCTCACAGGTGAACTATAATGTTAGAACAAGGGGTAGATTCAGAAATATAAAGTTCAACAAAAAAAAGACACATCATTTCCTGTAAATTCGCTACCGCATATAATTTGTGCTGTAGGTTATCAACCATGTTGAAAAAATCGCGAGACAACTGCCAACTGCTTATGTAAAATTCCAAAGAATCGTCCAGACATGTAACCCTACATGGTCATTGCTCGCTTGGAATGGATGGGAGACCCCATTGAGCATAATCAAACTCATCAAGGGATCCCAACACCTGGTCTGCCTCCTGACACAGGGCTTTGTCTAAATTAGGGTCAGGGACCATGACAACGGGCCTGCAATCATAGAGCTCAACTGCTTCAGAAACACTCTTTGACGATGTAATGCAGAGGGATGCCAGAAACACTAATCTAAGGATACAATGCTATGATTTAACTAGTTAAAGGTTTTAATACAACCGTTTTTTTAATTTTCTTTCGTGCATTCAGTCATATATGAACACGTAACCAGCACCTAGTAAACCAGGCCCACCTGATATAACGGTTCATGCGAGTTTGAATGTACACCTAGAAATGCCAAAAACAAAATTGCATTTGGGAAAGCAGCGAACAAACTCACATTCCAGCTGCATGAGCCGCAGCTACTCCTGATGGAGCATCCTCAAAGACGAGTACGTTTCCCACCTTCAAATCGGGATCCTGCAACAAAATTTCCATCATTTTAGAACATCCATATGAGATAAGCCACGACTGAAAACATCTCGCACTAAATATCCCAAAACTTGACATGCTCTACCATCCATGTGTATGTGGTGGATGGTGTTTTAAAAATCAGTTAAACCCATACAGACCTCAAATCGGTTCGCAGCAACTAGGAATATGTCTGGTGCTGGCTTCCCATGAATAACAGCAGGATCGTCACCAGTAACAACATGGTGCATGAGGGAAAGGAGTGAACCGTGTTTTGTTGACTTCAACTCAAAGTGGCGGCGGTGTGAGCTGCGAGAGACCAGCAAAATGTTAAGCGTAAAACCCGCCACTATTACCCTTGAGATCCTTCAAGGTTTTTAATCTGAAAATGAACTGCAAAACAGCAAGAAATAGAACATTTTCGGGTGGGTATTTTAAAGGACCACTTCTGCTAATGGACTTCATATCAGGTACCCTGCATAACAGTATTTAACTAGGGTGCTTTGATCCAACAGTGCAAACGTGTGTCAGCTCAGCAAATGTCTTAGCTCAACTGGAGCTTTTGCGGACAGTGGAGTCCATTTACAAAATAAACACCGAGGGAGAACACACCTGGTTGCAATTGCCATTGGAATGTTGTTGGCGTGTAAATGCCGGATGAGTCGCTCGGCACCTGAGGATGGGCATGGGAAAAAAACCCCGAATAAGTGGAATTGTAAGGTGAAATTGGAGGAATCGATCTACCAAACAAACAGTGTTAGAGATAAGGGCACACCAGGCATTAGGTCGCTCTCGGGGAACATGGCATGGAGCATAGTTTCCCGCCGTTTAATAAATTCCTCGGCCGTGAGGATTCCCGTCAAACCAGAGTCCTGGATAAAAATCTGCCCAGCCTCCAGTGCTTTCTTTCCCATCATTTTTGCTTTCAGAGACCAGTCAAACGCCTTCCCGTACTCAGCCAATATCTTCTCCTGGACGATTGTGTAGAACTTTTCGGTATCTAGATCAGCATAAATAAAACGATTAGAAAACTGATGAGATAGTATTCCTACATGAAATAAGTGGGACTTGTGAAACTAAGTGGCATTGCAAAGTCTTTGGAACGAGTAATGCATGACTTATCCATCCGCAATGAGATCGTGTTAGCAAAAAGAGTGCATTACTATAGTCAGATGATGACCCACAGCTCCGTCAATGCACATGGAGCAGCTTATATTGCAATCCAATACTAGATCAAAGGGAAATTTCGTGTTTGGAAGATACAAACACTGAAATATCATTAATAATGCTCCACAACAGTGTGGCGATTAAACGTACAAGGTCAAAAGAAACAAGATATTCATGACGGATTAGTGATCATCTGCCTTGGACTAATTTCCCACCTTCCTAAATGTAAAGGTAGTGATTAATAGAGATCATCAGGCGCTCAGCATCAGACGCATTGTCAGAATTTCCAATAGCCGCAACGCAATCAACAGGAGCATTCTCAACATTTCCGGTTGCATCCTTGAACCCTAAGCATAAAACCCTAATTCCAGGATTCTGGACAGAGCGCACTCTGACGTACAAGAGAGTACACCCACCAAGACTCTCACACACAAGCAGAATTTGCAAACTATAGAAGATTCAAACCACTCCAAAAAGAATTGCACCAGGATATCTCCACACACACATACACACACGCAATCAACATTTCCCAGCAATAGTCTTTCGAAATTTCACGCTGAGGCACAGACGCACCCAAAAGCAGGCCGTCCATGTCAAACAAGACATGTTTGACCTGCCGAGTCGCGGCAGAATCCGATGCGACCACCATCTCTTTCTCCAGCACAATACCCTGCGTGCACAATGTTGGTTACAATCCACCCTCGATCGAACTGAACTTCCACGCAGAACACAATTCAATCCCCTATTCAATCTCCACAACCATCCAAGCTTTGGCCACTGACAATCCACACTGTACACCATCCACAGGTTCACAGAACATTTATTTCAAAAGATCAAAATTTGACACATGGGTACTCTAAATTAAGGGTCAATCCATTGTAGTCTAAATAATATTTATATTAATTGTTGTTATTTTCAATATTGAAATAGTAAACTTAGTAGTGCTTAACTAATCCTAATTGTTGGTTTTTACAGTGGCCGGTAACATCGCCCATTGTGTCTCCACTGCTGGCCGTCACTGTTTAGTTTTTTTTTCTCGTTCCTCATTACTTACCTTGACTTTAACATAATTGGTTTGGGCGAGACGACATGTGCACCAATTGTGGACTCCATGCCACCCAGTGCTGTTGAAGCTCCACCTCCTATGTCAATTCCAGGCTTGAAAATACGGCAAATTTTTGTTATACAGCTTTTTCAATTAATGGGTTGAAGCTTGTCATTTGTAAGAACCAATCAGAAGATTTTGTGCAGAAAACAAAATCACTTTATATGCAAGTTGTAGACATTGTTGTACAAGTTCATAAAACCACCAAGAATAAGGTACAAATATATTGACATTTTCATTCATTCATTTATTTTTATTTGTTTCTATAACTAAAATGTATTTATATATAAAATTTGAAAACATGCAAACCATGTGCACACATTTGATTTTAATATCAAGTGGATGAGACTTTCAATAAATAAGTTTAAAGAGATTTCAGATGAGATAATATACACTTAAGATCATGGTAAATTAAGAATTAATGCATAAAGTAATATTAAGTCATCTACAATGCTATGTTTTAATATTAAAGTATGTAAAAGGCAACCAGTCAGTGTACTTTAGATGTCATTTAGATTAGATCAATTATAACAAAAAGATTAGATTTGTACAAATGGAAGCAACATCTATTTTATATGAGAACTAAAGTTGAATTGGTGCAAAATAATAATTATTTTATTATTAAAAATTAATTTAAATATACATATATATATATATATATATATAATGATGACAGTAAAATTGTAAAATGTTTTATTTAGTAATTTAAGTTTAAAATTGTAAAGATACATTTAATAACTTCCAGAATCAATTAGAAGAGTTGAGATTGTCAAACAAAAGAAGGGGATTATAAATTAATTTTTATTTCTATATATATATATATATATATATATACTCATAACCTCTACAACAGGTAAATTTGATAGAATAATAAAACAAATTTGAGAAATTTTGTAACATATATTTTCTACTTGAATGTTTGAGTTATTTTAACGGATTTATTCACATATATTTAAGATAAACATTACATTGTCTTTGATTTATATTGTCATTTTAAATACATTTTATTTTTATTTATCAATTTTCAAATAATCATAGTAAAACGTTTTTTTCTTAACCAAATCATCAAATGAAATATTTTTAAACATGTGCATTATAAATCTAAAATAAATATGTTTCATTGTAGTATTTCTAAAAAAATTCAAGAAAAATAAGTATGACATTTATTTAAATAAAATTTCCTTTGTTTTAATTATAATATTAAGGTAATTATCATGTTATAACAAAGTTTGCACATATTCAAAGACAATTAGAAAACATTTACATGAAAAATCTATTAGATTACAAAATATCTATATATATATATATATATAGATATATATGTGTTCAAAAATAAATAATAAGAAATCTGATTTTGTTATCACATGTCATATCCAGGCTTCAGTATTATATTCGATTTTTAAAATCATATGATTTTTTTAGACTTCCACGGTTTCTACCACTCTACTTAAATGTGGATCTATGAATATTATAACTATTTAATTTTCTGTATTTTCATATTATTATTATCGAGGGAGTGATACAAATTTTTGTGTTGAATTTTTTTTATTGCAAATGACAAGAATGTAGGTTAAAATATAGTAAACTTCACTTTTTTACTGTTTGCAAAATGCTAATAAAAGGGAAAAAAGCAATAGGAAAAAAAACAGAAAGAAAAGACACTAGAATACAATCAGCATAACAAAAGTTCAATTCTATAAATTTCAAATCATGTAAATATATTTTCATTTTCTTTTATCTGAAAACAAGAAGCAAGGAGGAGTCTTCTTCTGATCTGTTGAACTGAAGTTTTATTCTTTTTAAAGTAAATCACAAACCATGTAAATGAACCAAAAAAACAAAAACAATTTGAAATAAATTAAAGCTTTAGTCGGTTCATGACATTTTTAGAATCACTGATTTTATATTTTACCCACATTTATGCACGACTACCATACGAATAACCCTAATCTGAAAGAATAAAGCATTATTGAGAGGGCGTTCACATTGACAACACGAGGAACGCATCAAAATCAATCCGTATTGGCAACGTCGGTGGTGTGAACACGACCCACCATCACCCATCGCCGTGCACATCTTACGCCCCGGTCATGGTGACCGTCTCCCGGTGCATGAAACCGGCTATCACCCGTAGCATCGCTACCGCAGTGAAACTGAGGCTGAAGCTCCCCTTCCCCTTCTTCGTCGTCGTCTTCGTCTCATTGCGAATGCTTGGTGGTGTTGCAAGAAGAATCAGTGCAAGGCGAGACAGAGAGAGAGAGAGCGGGGAGGAGCTCATGGGTGAAGCTCCTCTGCTTGCACTTTGACTACTTTGCAGGGCAGGCTGTGTTTCCTGTGTCCTGATCGTTTAGGTTTAGCTTCAGTGGTTGTGCTGGTGAGGAGTTGGAGCTCGGAAATTGACGACGTGGTTTTGAGGAGAGTCAGATCTAGATTTAGGTTTTGTCAATTATTTTTTGTAGTGTGTGTGTGTGCGTGTGTGTGTTTGTTTTTGTTTATTGGGGGAGTTTCTTCCTTTCTTTTATTTTTTTGAAGAGGTGGGGAGAGAAGGGGAGTGATGGGCGAGGGAGGAGGATTGATGTGGCAATGGTTTCTGGTCGTGGCGACGTGCTGCATTGCTTCCGGGGTGGAGGGCAGGGTGCTTTTGAGTGCTAAGGATCATCGCTACAAGGAGAACGATAATGTACCACTTTTCGCCAACAAGGTTGGCCCGTTTCATAACCCGAGGTGCATGCACTACTCTCGCTGATGCCGTCTTTATATTATTTGTATCAGGTCTCCGAGTTGGGTCCCGTTGGGCTTGTACTTTCTTGTTTGAACGAGAGGATTGGATTTGGCGATTATTTGTTGCGGGGGTGTTGTGCAAAGATTTTGCGGGCGTGGGTATGAGGTACTTTCGAGGTTGGGGATCTGTACACTTTGGCGGGGCTTCTGACTCTCAAGCAGTGCATCAGGTTGTGCGTGTTAGCTATTCTATGCCCTCGATAGATACTTGCTGTTTGTAGCGAGAATAGTAGTAGATGGATTATCAAGAACAAGTCAGAGTTATCTTTTGTTGCGTCCAGGAAGTCTTTTACGGCGAGAGGAGTACTGTGGTGCTCGTCCACAGTCCCTGAGCGGGGCTACATTGGAGTGAGTATGTGGATTTCACTCTGATTTTGAGCATCACCTTCACGAAGTCGAAGCAGACAGTGAACTACATTGTCGATAATAAACTCCCACGCGTAGTGACGTCTTAGATCGAGTTTAGAATGTCTCGAGGATAAGTGTAGATATGTTCTCTCTCCGGAGAATGTGTTGAAATCGGTTAGCGTACGGAATAGTTCTGTATGCCGTGCAGTGATGCCGTTTTCTTGATTCTGCGAGATCGTGTACGGATCGGGTTCTTGGTAAAGATGTGACTATTCCTTCAATTTGGGGCATCTCTTCCTCGGATCCAGAAGCGACAGTGCAAGATATTCTAGAATGACGGATTCTCGTTTTGATGGAGATACTGTGAAAATCTCGGTTAGAAAGCATACGTGGTTTCGTGATAGAGCACAAGGAATGTTTAATCTGATATTGATCTGATTGAGAAGTGTGATTTTGACTGATTGCTCTATGTTGTTTTTTCAGCGAGACGTACCAGTACTATGATTTGCCATTCTGTAAGCCTGATCACTTTGTTCATAAATCTGAGGGTTTGGGAGAAGTCTTGGAAGGAGACCGTATGGTGAACAGCCGTTACAATTTCACTTTTAAAGTTGACAAGTCCGTTGAGGATCTGTGCACCGTTAAGCTCTCACCTGCCGACATCGTTAAATTTAAGAAAGCTGTAGAGCAAGACTACTACTTTCAGGTCTGTAATTATAATTATTGTTCTCTTCGCAGAATTCTGTTATATCGCCTTCTTTTTTGTGAAGATAAATCCATGAAATCATGGTTAGGACTGTTCAATCAGGGTCAGTGTGCATAGTACGCAGGACAGATTATTGATTCCTCAATTTTTTGTGCCCTGCATTATTCATATTGCAAGAGTTGTTCAAGTTACCTCCAAGAAATGTTCTTCCAGTTCGGTTTGGTTTCCAATAATCTCTCTTTCTCTGAATCCTCTGACATAGTAAACCTGTCGTCCATTACCTCTGAATGGTATATATTACCATTCAGCTCCTCTATTAGCTTGGTGGATTAACTAATCGAAAATTCATTTTCCGCATGGTTGGAATGTACAGATGTTCTTCGATGATCTTCCATTACAGGGATTCGTTGGGAAGATGCTAGAGGTGGAGAACAAAGAGCCTCGCCACATGCTGTTTACCCACATTCTCTTCGAAGTGATGTACAATGATGATCGTGTGATCGAAATAAGCGTTCGCACTGATCCGAAGAAGGCAGTTGACATCTCAGAAGAGAAGGACACCGAGGTTAAATTTACATATTCTACTCAGTGGAGTCCAACAGCCAAGCCCTTTGAGAAGCGCTTGGAGAAGTACCGAAAGCACTCATTTCTGCCCAAACATTTGGAAATTCATTGGTTCTCCATCATCAATTCTTGCGTTACTGTACTTCTACTGACAGGTTTTCTTACCACGATTCTTATGCGAGTGCTCAAGAACGACTTTATCAAGTAAGAAAAGCTTCTTCTCCATGCTCAGAACTATTTTTTACTTTACCTCTAGATTTGAATTCCAGACTTTCATGAGTTGTGTGTGTGTGTGGTATTCCTTATTTCTCAATCTGTGTTCTTGTTGTTGTTGCCTTAATTCATCTTTTTAAATGAAGATTATGAAACTGGCCTGGATAAGCAATGTTAAATTAAACATGAATGTCATACTAAGGCTTGCTATTTCATTAATTTCAAGTTAGTGCTTTTTGTGTAGAAACTAATAACCTTTCAATTTTGTATGGTTTGTCGCTTCCACATTACGATATAATTGATCTGAAAATCAATGCGTTCAAAGTCCTTGGAAGCACATCTATGTGTCGAGAAGGGGACCTAGGATCAGCTCTGGTGCTTCTGACATTTTTTATGATCCTAGCATCGTTATTAGGGCAACCAACATTTGTTTATATCTGCAACGTAAGAGAGTAAAGATGTGCGGACTAGAGTAGTCTGATTTCATGGTTTGTTTTGCTAAAACAGGTACACAAATGAGGACGAAGAAGAGCACGAAGAAACAGGCTGGAAGTATATTCATGGTGATGTGTTCAGATTCCCTCCGTTTCCCAAGTAAGTGGTTTAACGCGCTTCTTGTCAATGAAGGAATAATCTGTGGGTGCAATTCGTTGTTTTCCCTCACAGGTTCAGACAACAATTGTCATTGAATGTCGTGAGTCATTGAACAATTTTTCGTGTCTGCATCTCTGTCTTTGCGCATTATCTAGAATCAGTCACAAGCCACTAGCTTTTTGCTTAATTTTTAATTTGGGTTTTAATTGAACGTCAGTAAATTCTGTTGCATCGGAACACACTATCGTTGCATTGCAACCTTTTCTTACAAGCCGCATATGTATTGGATGCAGTTTATTTTCTGCTGTCATTGGAAGCGGAACACAACTTCTGGTTCTTGTATTCTTCATTTTTGGCTTGTCACTTGTGGGTGTTTTCTATCCGTACAACCGCGGCGCTCTCAACACTGCCTGCCTTGTCATCTACGCCCTGACCGCTGGAGTTTCTGGTTACGTGTCAGCACATCTCTACCGTCAAATGGGTGGCGAAAATTGGGTACGTTACGTTATAACTTGTCTGTAAACCTGTTGGGAACCTCTTCTGCTAGTCCTCATTGTGCAACATCGTCCGCTTCTTTTCATCTAAAGAACCTTGTTACACACTTTTCGGCAACCTTCTGGTTCTCGGAGTTGTCTTTCTTTTTCTTTTTTCCTCCGCGTACAATCGATTCGCGAAGGCTTTGATTTCTCACTTCTCCCCTTCTCTCCGACCTGCAGTCATCTAATTTGTAACCAGATGAAAGTGTTTACCTGGGTGGCATTCTCATGGGTTTCTTTTCTGTTGGTTGCTATGTGTTCCAGGTGAGAAATCTGCTGTTGACGGGGTCGCTTTTCTCCGGTCCTCTCTTCCTGGTGTTTTGCATCAACAACACTGTTGCAATTGGTTATCAATCAACGCAGGCGCTGCCTTTTGGAACCATTGTTGTTATTGCCATTATTTGGATCGTCGTGACCTTTCCCTTGACTGTAAGTGCACTTCAGTTCTTTTAAAATTTCTTTGTTTCTCGTGAGGGCTTGAATTGAGTTGGAATTTACTGTTCGAGACATCCTTCTGCAGGTTCTTGGAGGTATAGCAGGAAAGAACAATAAGGCAGAATTCTATGCTCCATGTCGGACCAACAAATATCCTCGTGAGATTCCTGCTCTGCCGTGGTACCGCAGAACTGTTCCACAGGTATGCGACGGTGTCAGTTGATTGGTTGGGACATTATCCTCCAAACTTATGAAAATATAAAGATCGCACCACGTGTATGTTCTATTCATGCTTTATTCATTATATGTAAATCTTGAAGGTAGCTTTGAGAATATAGCTACTCTGAAAATTAGGTATTGAAAGTTCGGTTTAAAAATGATGCCATATTTTATTCCCAGGATATTTACTAGTTGTGTCATTCACACATACCCAAGATCTGATGTGACAGAATGCCACATACTACACGACGAAGTGGAAAACCAAATAATGAACAAGTGGGACGTTTAAGTTCATTGGTTCTTCTGTTTGGGTGCAGATGTGCATGGCAGGTTTCCTGCCGTTCAGTGCAATCTACATCGAGCTCTATTACATTTTTGCCAGCGTTTGGGGTCACAAAATTTATACCATCTACAGCATTCTATTCATTGTGTTCATCATCCTCATCATCGTAACGGCTTTTATCACCATTGCACTGACATACTTCCAACTTGCTGTTGAGGACCACGAGTGGTGGTGGAGGTATTCCTTAAACTACCATGCATTTGAATTCTTCATCTCTATGTAAACTGAAGTTGGATTTTGGATATGGTTTGAATCACATTGTCAACATCCCAATAAGCCCTCGTTGGTGTCCTAGGATAGGGAACTTGTGAAAGTGGTTGCCATGAAACGGTCTAGTTTGTTATCCGGCTTTTCATCCTATCCTTACTGAAGGCTTTCGCTTTTTGATCCTTCGTAGAACTAAATTGTTGTTTCACTGGTGGACCCAGATCTGTATTCTGTGGAGGGTCGACTGGAATGTTCATCTACGGATACTGCTTCTACTACTATCATATTCGTTCAGGCATGGTTGGGTTAATGCAAGCATCTTTCTTCTACGGCTACATGGGCTGCGTTTGCTATGGATTCTTCTTGATGCTGGGTTCGGTTGGATACAGAGCCTCACTATTGTTCGTTCGCAACATCTATCGTGCCATCAAATGTGAGTAGGTTACCATGAGCTACTAGGGTCATACACTTTCTATTAAGATGTTTTCCAGTTTTTGAACTGTAAAGCCATCTTAGTCCTTGATCAAACATTCTAAAGAAATATTATATGTAGGCGTTGAGATTAGGAGACATCTGCTTTGCAGTTCTAGTTGTGCAAGATAGTTTTGCTCGACTCCTGGAGAACAGTAGTGGAAGGCAGCTGTACAGTATCTGTTCATCTAGTAGTGACGCAAATGACAATTTTTCAAAGATTGTGCTCCTGCACACTGAGATTTAGCCAGCGGGGCTTGCGGGAAAAAAATGACCGAGTTCTGATTTAAAAGTTCATGCCTCTGCCTCATCTCATGCACCTATCGATCCGACATTGATCGTTTTCTCAAAGTACCAAGATGTGAGCGTTCCACATCTGAAAGTTTCAATCTGTTGTCGCACTTGGTTGTTTACATGCAACACATCTACATCGCACATTGAACATTCAGCACCCAGTTTATAAATCACAGTCTTGACTGCCATCCTAGTGGCCTTCGTTATACGAATGCCCAGTGAATATGCTGTAACGCCCACAAAGATGAACAAATGAACTAAAAACGTCCCACTTTTTCATTGGCTCTTCTGTATGTGCTAGGGACTGGATCGAATGAAATTTATGCTATAAAAAATCTACAAAAAGAAGTCTATTATTTATTAAAATTAATATAACAATATTAAGTGGGTAAAATGTTTTCTCAAAATGATATTTGAATTTAAGTTATTAAAAATATAATGGTATACCTACATGTATACCATTTTATTATTGGATTTCTAAATAGACTTTTAATTTATTTAAATGAATTTTTAGTTTTTGAGTGATAACGAATAAAGAATAAATTTATTTTACTTTTGAGTATAAAAATATATTCTTTCTAGACATCTAATTTTAATTCCATTTTATCATCTAGTCAATTTTATTTTCTGTAAACTAGTAGTTAGTATCAAGTTTCAATGCATTCTTTATAACTTTTGATGCATAATAAAATTTAATAGTTTAATTTTTTTAATGAAATATATTAAAACCATCGATTTTATTTTAAAAAAACATGTAGTATTTTATTTGATATTTATGCTATTTTATACTAATATCTTATGTATATTTTTAAAAGTTTTTATACTATCTTTACTTCTAAAAAAGTTAAATTTGAAAATTTTTAATTTTTAAATCATTTTTTTATAATTATTTGTATTAGATTTTATTTTAAAAAATGACTAGAATAATATTGTTAATATTATTTGAGTGATTTTTTTGAATATAATACGAAACAATAGATATAATTGTAATATTATTGGTACTAATATTGATTTTGATGATTTTAATTACTTCATTAATTAATTAATTAGTTTCATTCTAACTTAATTGTTTGATTATTAATTGAACAATCAACTAGAAGCTTTAGTAGAGGCATTGTAAACAAAGAATTCCAAGACAAGATAACTGAAAGAAAAGTTTACACACTAAATAAAAAAATTAAACTCTATAGACAGCTAATACTTTTATATAAGGCCATAGTATAGCAATATATATATATATATATATATATATATTTCTTTTCCTTTTCTTTTTGAAGCAAAGTCTTTGTAAAGAACCGCCCAAATCTTCTTCTTGTATTATTTGTATATTTTAGTTATTGGTGTATTAAAATTTTATGATAAAGATAAAAACATTTAATAGTTGAATAAAAAAATCCAAAGATTAAGACAATACTATTAATAATATTATTTTTATTTTAGTTAATTTAATTGCAAAGAATCTCATGAATTAAAAACCAATTAAAAAAAGAAATCATGAATCACCTTACTAATTATCTTGGCTACAATTTTAGCTATTAAAAATATAAAAAAATAAGAAATCTAAAGTGTTATTGGAATTAGTATTTTTGTTTCTTATTACTACCTCAATCTTATATGTTACAAATAAATTTGGTCATTTATATAATCAACTTTGCTTGTAAAGATGATAGTTGTAAGAATTCTAATAAGACATTTTTTAATCCCAAAAGTTAGTTAGCCTTCCAAAATTAAAGAACAAAGTCCACATGCAATTTTTTTTAGTACTAATAGTGTCTTCAAATGCTCTTTATATAATTACAAACATTATTAGACTATCTTACAATTGTAATAGATTGTCAATTCTTTACAAGTTTGAAGAATCCAACTTCATTGTTAAGAGTGGCAAATTCAATTGCTATTCATTGAATTTTCTTCTTTATTAAATCTAACATGGTTTTTTCTTAATGCCAAAATTTTCTCTCATCTTTCTTTCTTTTTATCTTGTTGTCACATGATGTGACATTGGATGCCAAAGCTTATTAAATATGTGTAATTTAATTTAATTTAATATTTTTTTATCCACTTAGTTTTTTTTATTAATAAAATTTGTTAATATAACCAAGGATTTGAAGACTTAGGTGGATAAACCTTCATGGATATATCTATAGTTACTTAGATAATATAAATAGATAGAAGTAGGATAAAAATAGGTTAATTGAATAATATCTTGTGAAAAAGCTTTCTAAAAACTTCATAGTTGCGATTTCATCTTTGAATATATCTAATAGTGATTGGTAGGTTAAAAACTTAGCCAACAAATTAGCCACATGTAATACATATTAGTAGCTTGTCATATATGAAACTTATTTTGCAAGTTAAGACTTAAGTTACAAATTAGACACTTGTTAGAGGTCCTATAGAAGATTGTCGCATAACTCTTCAATAGATAGTATATATAGAGGCAAGAATGAAGCTTTCTTCACTCTTGTCAACTCTCTTCTTACTTCTAGTCTAATTTCAAGAGTCTCTAGTTTTCTAGTCTTTGACAATAGCCATTCTAGTTTCTTATTAACTATATTTAGTTTCTTATTTTTAATTTGTCATCTCTCTTTGATTCATTTCTTACTTATTTACATATCTTCTTTGAGTTCTTGTCTTTAATAGATTGACAAGAGTCTTAACTCATTGTTCTTGCCTTGTTTTTAGAAGTAAGTGGATTACTTAACTTCTTTTATTGTGTTTCAAAGGTTGCAGAATACCCACCTTAAATTAACATTTACTTTTCTAATACTGATTTTTTTCTTAAAAAGAGTGGATTATCCCTCTTTATAGAAATTCTCATTTAATATTAGAGGTTGCGGATTATCCTCGTCTAATATGATTTGTGGATTTATGAAGTTGTTTAAAATGAAAGAAAAAATTATGGATGCTATACTTGGCAAAAATGAAAATAGATTTGTAACTATCACAGATCTTCAAGAACTTATCAATACTCTCAGAGTGGAAATTTCACACATTACTAATGCCAACTATAGAAGCACTATTCCTATGCATATAAAAAAAGTCTAGAGTCTATGCCAAGAAGTTGTGGAGTTGAGAGAAGTAAGTAGATTGACCTCACAACCAAATTTAAGAAGTCTTGCTTCTACAAGCACAAGAGAGATAAAGATTAGTATGCTTGAGAAGTTTAATGAAATAAGATCAAAATTTTGAGGATTTTTGCAATAAGTCACGGTCTATCTAAGATTACATCCTTTTCAATATCTTGATGGATTTACTCAAGTTGGATTTATAGATGCACTTCTATCTAGAATTGCTCTCTCTTGATTTGCACCTTTGATGGAAAAGGATTCATAGCTCTTTTATGATTTGAATTCATTCTTAGAAGTATTTACAACCATATTTAGAAAAAATAATCAAAAAAGAGTAATAAAAATCAAGCTCTTATGTTTATACAAGAATCACAATTAACTACTAAATGTTGTCAAATTCTAAAACCTTACTTGTAATGTGGACTAAAATGACAAAGCCTTTAACAATCAATTTTGATATGGATTAAAAGAAAATGCCAAAGATTTGTTATTGATATTGCCAAAAGTAGATTTTTTAGAATAATTTATTACTTAAGCCATTGCATGAAATAATTGATTATTTGAAAGGCATCAAGAATAAAGATTTGGCTAAAAAATAACAAGTCAATTAATGACGACAATTCCTAAGTTTTTAGAAACTCATTCATTGAGGTTGAAACCAATGCAAATTGATAAGATACATTTTAAATTTGATTCAATATTGTCAAGAAGATTTGTGCCTATATTGTGGAGAAACTAAGTAGACTACTCAACATTTTCCAAAAAAACAATACAATCACAAAATAGAAAGCATGGTTGCTAGAAAAGACATTGAGTTAAATAAACAAGTTTTTTAGCTACAATAGAGACCTTGTGGCTGAAATCATATACAACATCTAATAGAGGTCCTATTTTCTTTTCAAATCCATCACCTTATTTTATAATAGATGTATATTTAAGACTTAAAAATTATAAATTCTTTATCTTATTAAATTGAAGAGCCTCAACTTATTTTATAGAAAAAGACTTTGTTAAAAAATAAGAAATATTTTTAGTCAAGAAAATTAAATCTATATATGTAGAAGTTATAGATGGTCTTTTGTTATCTTTTAGAGATATTATCCATGGGACTATTTCTTTAGATGTAGCAATTAAAGATCATAATAGTATAGTAATATTTAACATAATAAGATCTCCCTTCAATCTAATTATTTTAGTATTATCATGATTAAAAAAATATAATCTTAAAATAGATTGGATTTTTTATAATCTTAACTTTTCTTGTAGTTTAATCCAAAATTCCATTAGTCAAGTAAAAATATATAATTTTAATACATCCAAACTCCAACTAATAGATATAAGAATTTTTATGCATACAACAAAAGAAAGATCATCTTTTGATATATATGCCATGCCCATTTTTAATGGTGAAAAGATATCAAGTAATATTCTTAGATAATATCAAAATTTCTAGGATATTTTTGAAAAAAAAATGCAAATATTCTTCTAAAGCATCTATCCTATGATTGTTGAATTGATTTGTAAGAAAGAGCTCAACCATCATTTGGACCAATCTAAAACTTAATGTAAAATGAGTTGGCTGAATTAAAGAAGTACCTTGATAAAAAAATGGTTAAAAACTTCATACACTATTTAAAATCTCTATCAATAGCTCTTATCTTATTTGTAAAGAAAAATGATGGATCTCTGCAGATATGTATAGACTATTAAGGACTTAATAAGTTTACCATTAAGAATAGATACCTTTTATTTTTAATTTTAAGACTTTGTAAAAAATTAAATCAAGCAAAGATCTATACATTAAATAGATTTACAAAGAACATACAACTTGGTATATATTAAAAAATGAGATGAATAAAAAAGTATATTTTGAATTAGGTATGGATATTTTAAATATAATGTCATATCATTTGGACTCACAAATGCACTTAT